AGAGCACAGAGATTTTTCTCCTATGTTTTCTTCTAGACGGAATTCAAATTGTAGTCAGTTTTCTGGGAGAATCTTTTGTACTTTCCCCAGATTCTGTGGTCAGACCGTATCTACCACCTGTGGACGGAGTGTGTAGACAAGTGTGTGGGTTTGTCTGACAGATTGGACAACTAGGAGCTCTTGCATCTGTAGTGTCTTGGCTTCTGCTTGTATAATGGTGGGGGGAGGCAGTGGGGACACCATGAGTAGACCATTCAGCCCCAGGAATCACTGTGGTGTGGGAGACAAACACCAGTGTTCCTGTTTTGCAGTCTGTGCTAGTTTAATTCCTGCCTCCATGACTGTCCCTTTCTTGTGCCATCCACTTCTCTAACTTTGGGTCCCATTGCTCTTGCCATTGAGGGAAGAGGCTCTGAGGAAAGGGGGAAGGACAAGCAGGGGGCGGGGAGTGAGGAGGGGAGCAGCAGAGTCTGTTCCTCCATATCCAGACATACATCCACCTGTCATACACCTACACTTAGCAGCACCTGTATTTGCATACCTCGGGCAAACATTCCATGTTTAACTATATGGACAGGAGCAGGAGCCCTCACAGGTACCTGTATGCATGTGGCCACATCCCTGCAAAACTCAGTGGGGGCAGAAACTGTCTGCATGTATAGCTGGGACCCAGTCTTGTTCAGTGAGTAAGTGTGCACATGCACAGTCTGGCCCTCAGTGCTCTGTCCATGACAGCATCGTGGTTTGTGTGGTCATTTTTGTGACTCGCATTGATCTCTGTTTGCATGTGCACAAACAGCCTCATGCAGCCTTGGTCTCCCTCCCCTCATACAGAGCCTGGCCTCAGGGAGCACCTGGTTTGGGATGGAGGAGGCTGCTGGAGGAGAGAATTTTCTGTTCCTTCTGACTGCTTTCTCTGGCTAGGGGTCATGGGAAGGAGAATGGTCATTCTGCCCTTCTTTTTATTTACTTATTTTTAAAAAAAAGATTTTATTTATTTATTTGACAGAGAGAGCACACAAGCAGGGGGAGTGGCAGGCAGAGGGAGAGGGGGAAGAAGGCTCCCCTGCTGAGCAAGGACCCTGGGATCATGACCTGAGCCAGAGACAGATGCTTAACTGACTGAGCCATCCAGGCACCACCCCCCCTTTTTTAAAGGCTTCTTTTTAGTTTTAATTTATCAATTTGTAGGGTTTTTTTTTTTTAAGTCAAGCTTGAGGTATAAGTAACGTTACGTCTGCATTTATTTACATTTTGACAAATATAAACATTGGTCATGTAACCACTACGATATAGAGTAGTCCCATTGCCCCCAAAGAAGTACCCTCCAGAGAGAGGGACACAGGTGAAGAGGGAACCACGTACAGGCCTGGGAGACATGGAGCAGGAGGTGGGCATGGCTCCCATTGTCTGTCTGTCTCGTGTCTGTTGAGTTAGGACGTCTCTGCTCCTCACTCTGGGAGGGGGCTGGGACTAAGAAACGGGCAGCGAGGCAGAGTGGAGTCGAGAGCAGCATCAGAGACTGTTTCTAATTAAAACATTGATTTTTGTCACCAGGTCTTTTTTACATTAATTTTTATTTTTCAAGATACCGCATTAAAGGAGCACCTCGGTCGTGTAGTCGGTTAAGCGTCCGACTCTTGTTTTTGGCTCAGGTCCTGATCTCAGGGTCGTGAGATTGAGCCCAGAGCAGGGCTCTGTGCTGATGGTGGAGTTGGCTTAAGGTTCTCTCTCTCTGCCCCTCCCCTCCTCAAATGCATATTGCATTAAAATACTGTTTATCTTGCTTGCTGAGTTTTTGGTGCCTCCTTAGATTTTTGCCCCCAAGGCGAGTGCCTCACTTGCCTCCCCCTCGTTGTTCCTGCTCTGGGGACAGAGACTTGCCTGGAGTAGAATGTGTGCTGTTCATTCCCTCCACATTCTGCCCTTTTCCTTTTCTTCCACTCGCCCCATCTGTGACCTCTTGGCCCCTCCCTGGTACCTGAACCCAGGGAGGAAGGGCTGTTTTACTACCCATCGCTAAGACAGGGACGAGGTTCTCCCGATGCCCACCCTCTCCCCCAGTCTGGGCTGTGGGCCATCACTCTTCTGCCCATTTCAGGTCTCCACTCATTTATCCCACATGCACTGAGGCCCACTTGACCTTGATGAGGTCAGGGCTGGAGGGTGAGAGGGGCTGGGGTCGTGGGCCCAGAAAGCAGCCAGGAAGCTTTGCACCAGTGCCCGGTGCCCACACTACGGCTTGGGGAGGAGGGGCCTGCTCAGGAATACGGAGACAGTGAGCCCTTCTGTGGGGCCCAAAGAGCTAGCGCGCTGGCATCCCCCACCCCAGGCAGCATGGCACATCATTCACTGTGTCCCTTGTGGCCTATGCTGGCTTTTTAAATTTTTGAATCGGTTGCCAAGGTTTAAAAATCCAGAATTCACAGAGAAATCCAGCATCCTGGTTTCATCAGCAAACAAATAACGCGGGAGTTCTGGCAATGTTGGTGTGTCCTGCATGGTAACCCCCAGCCAAGCAGCGGCTTCCTGTAGGGCAGCACCTGTCCCCCACAAGCTTCCTCATTACTCCTCTTTGAGTTCTAGAGCTGTGCTGTCCACGGTGGGAGCCATCAGGCATGTGTGACTGTTGGGCACCTGAAATGTGGCAAGTCCGAATTTAGATGGGCTGGAGATGTAAAATAGGCATTGGATTTTGAAGGCTAAGTACAAGGGAAGAATGTAAAATAGCTCATTAATAATCTTTAAAATATTGATGACATGTTTCCACGATAGTATTTTTGACACACTGGGGTAAATAAAATATGTTAAAATTAACCTCACGTTTCTTTTTACTTTTTTTAAATGGAGCTACCAGAACATTTGAATTTAAATTTATATTCTATGTATATATATAATGTGTGTGTGTGTATATACTATATATATAGTACATAGTATATATATAATATAGTATATTTCTGTTCGTCAGAGCCTAAAGGACAGATGGGGGACCAGGCAAGAGGGGTAGGCAGCAGCCAGAACACAAAATGGGCAAAGGAGAGCATTCCATGGACAGTGCTAGGATGACTAAGGATGTGAACTTCGGAGTCTGTGATCAGAGTTCAAGACCCATTTCTGCTTCCTACTTGCTGTGCCATCCATCTGAACCTCTCTGAACTTTTAGTTTCTCCAACTTGAAATGGGGATGGAGAACAGCATCTGCCTCCCAGAGCTGTTTGTGTAAAACACTTGGTGTACAGTTGGCACTCGCTGAAGGATAGGCCACCTCATCCTATCCAGCTCTGACACTGGGATCTGATTCGAGGGGCAGTGATGGCCATCGATGGGTGTCAGTGTGGAGAGTGATGTGTTTCAGAAAGATCCTTTGGGGCGGGGGCAGGGAGACCAGCGCAGAGCTGCCCCGAATTTCAGATGAGGAGTGTCTGTGCATGTGTAGAGAAGTGGCTGCATCATCTGGGGCCCGTGGAGAAAGGAGAGCCACAGGACACAGTGACAGAAGGGATGTGGCGGGAGGGGGCAGTATGGAGGGCATCACTGAGGTTTCCGGCCGGGTGTCCTGATGGAGGGTGGGATTCCACACATCCAGAGAAATCCAGGAAAAGCAGAGGGCCTCTGCCTAGCTGGGAACCCACAGGCCTTGCTTACCTCCACATTCCCAGCACACAGGGCTCAGTGAGTAATGGCTGAGTGGCTGGAGGGCTCCTGCCTTTGAGACCGAAGTCCAGGGCTTGTAACTGGTTCTCAGTCTAGCAGCTGTGTGATCTCAGGCACACTATTTCACCTCTCTGGGCTTCAGTCTCCCCATCTGTAAAATGGGAATAGTAAACATAGCCCCCTCCCGGGTTGTTCTGGGGACTCAGCGACATGATCCGTGTAAAGTACATAGCACAGTGAGTGCCCAGTTAATTGCTGGTCTCCGGCTTCCCACTTAGTCCCTCCCGGTACAGACACGCAAGGACTGCCTTCTCTCCTGCTTTCCCAAGGCTCTCACTTCCTTGTAGGAAGAGAAGCCCAGGTGGAAGCAAGTTCCTTGATTATTCTCTCCTCCCTTTGAGGCCAGGCAGGAGGATGGAGGTTAGACCAGAGAGAGAACTTTCTTTTAGGGCCAGGAGTATCCAAGTGGGGTTGTTTTGTTTGTTTGTTTGTTTTCAAGTAGGCTCCACGACCAGCGTGGAGTCCAACACGGGGCTTGAACTCACAACCCTGAGATCAAGATCTGAGCTGAGATCAAGCGTCAGACACTTTACCGACTGAGCCACCCAGGTTTTAGAAAATTAACTTCTCAGAGTCCCTTCCCTGTCCTACACAGATTAGTGGACTGAGAGCTCTTGGGCAGGGGCCTGTGGGGGTGTATCTCTTTATTCCTGTCTCTTTGAGTATCCCATAGTGACTCGGCAGCCAGGGGCCAGGGCCAGAGGCCTAATGGGGCCATAACCTTCCTGCACCCAGGATGTGGAATCCCAAAGTACCCAGGCCTTCACTGATCTGGGGGGGTGGCACGTGAGGGTCATAAGCAGGCAGGGGGAGCTGAGGACTCCTTGCGTTTGTGCAGACCTAGCTGGGCCCTGCGGCAGTGACCCAGAGCTCCTGCCTCTGCATTTGTGGCTCTCTCTTGGATTGCACTTGCCCAGACTCCAGGACTCTGCAGAAGCTGTTTGAGTTAACAGCGCACCAGCCTGACTCAGAAAAGGGAACCCAGGTGCAGGAGCCAGACGACTCCGGGTTGTTTCCACCACCCCGTTAGCTGAGTGGACTTGGGTGAGTCGCGATAAACTCCATGTGCCTCAGTCTCTTCCTCTGTAAAGCAGGGACAGTAGAACTGCCCTCTGAGAGGCGCTGGGATGGTTCAATGTGGCTGCATGCCCAGCATGTGGCCCGGTGCCCAGGACACAGTCAGCGCTTCCTCAGTGCTCCTGCTCCACAGCTGGCCAGCGTCCGCGTCCTGCGGTCCCCGGCTCAGTGTCATCTCTCTCCCCCTTGCCCTTGCTTCCATTCTGCAGTCCCCATCCCCTCCAAAGCCAGCAGCCTCTCGGCCCTCTCACTGGCCAAAGACAGCCTGGTTGGTGGCATCACGAACCCCAGTGAGGTCTTCTGCTCCGTGCCAGGCCGGCTCTCGCTGCTCAGCTCAACGTCCAAGTACAAGGTGACCGTGGGGGAGGTCCAGCGGCGACTCTCACCTCCCGAGTGCCTCAATGCTTCCCTGCTAGGCGGTGTCCTTCGCAGGTAGGACGGCCAGCCCACACAGTTCCCTGCCCAAATCCATGGTCATTTCAGACCTTCTCTGGGACGCAGAGAGGGCCCCGCCTCACGCCAGGCCACGCCTCCTCTCCATCTCTGTCTCCTTAGGGAACTGTGCATGTTCTGGGGGCAGGCCCTGGTCTCCAGCAGCTCCCACAGGTGTGTGGGCTTGGGGGTGGGGGTGGACAAAGAAGGCCGATCACAGAGAAAGGACGGAGGACTGACCTGTGTTGGGCAGGACGGACCAGGCTGGGGCTGGTGAAGAGAGGGGGCCATCTTCATCCTTTGCCCCAAGAACGGGACCCCAGGACCCAAGGCCCACTCCCTGCAGAACACAGGCCTCTCTGGTGTGTGTGTGTTTTGAGGTCTGTGGTTTGTCTTCATAGCTGGGTGTGCGTCTCTCTCTGTGCACGTCCTAATGCCCTGGTGGGGGGTATTTGCACTTCAGGGCTAGGAGTGTTGATGTGTGTGAGGAGGGAGTGAGCATGTGGGTGTGTGTGAGTGCATGCATGCACGTGTGTGTGTGTATGTGTGTGTGAGTGGTATAGGGGACAGTCAGGCGTATATGTCTCCATGAATGTGAGTTTCTTGTGTTGCATTGGCTAGAGTGTGTCCTCCTCTGTGTGACTGCGTGTACTTCTAGGGATAGACATATGTGTGTTTACATGTCTGCAGCTCCGTGTCGAGGCTGCATTTGTGCAGGGGAGAGGGTGTCTCTATTCCCGGTCTCTTTGAACACCCCAGAAGGGCTTGTGTGAGTCCGCGAGTGTCTGTACATCTGTCCCTGGGATCCTGGCTCGGTGTGACCTGTGCTTCTGCACCCGTGTGTCCCTCAGGGCCTGAGTCTGCGTGTCTCTGTGCATCTGACGATTGTGGTGTGTGTGTGTGTCCTTATCGCTCTCAGTGTGTGTTCGTCTGTGTGCCTGTTTATCTGTGTGTCCCTGGGTGACTGTGTGTGTCCCTGTGTATCTCTGCATGTCATTCTGTGTGTCCCTGGGTAGCTGTGTATGGCTCGGCTGGAGTGCTAAGGCACCTCAAGATTCTGGCCTATCCTTCCCTACCCAGGCTGTCCTCGCTGCTGTTGAGAGGATTAGAGGGAATTGAGTGGCTCTGGGAGCTGGGTGCTAGGCCCCCCAACCCCACCTTGGCTACGAAGTCAGTGAGGTTAGAAAGAGATTGGGACGAGGCTGAAAGAGGCCCCAGAGCATTCCCAGGGCCAGACCCCAGCTTCAGCAGGGGCAGGTGGGGCAGCAAGGACCTGTTGGGGCCACTTAGCCCTAGGCTTCTTTCTTGTCTTCATAGTGTGTGTCTGTCTCTCTCTGTGCACGTCAAGGGCCAAGTCCAAGAATGGGGGCCGCTGTCTGCGGGAACGGCTGGAGAAGATTGGGCTCAACCTGCCAGCTGGCCGTCGCAAGGCCGCCAATGTGACACTTCTGACATCGCTGGTGGAGGGTGAGTGAGGCCTGAGGGTGGGTGTGAGTGTGAGTATGCGGGGACCTGTGTCACCCAGTGGGGCTGTGTGACTGTCCCTAACACTGTCATGTATAAGGAAGGGGTGTATGTGATACATGTGTAGAGTCTTTATGTGTCTGGGCACGTGCACACGTTTGTGTGTGTGGGTTTGTGGAGGGTTGGAGAGGAGTGGCCAGTGTTTGGGTGGGGTGAAGGGATGAGGGGGTGAGAGTCTCTTCCCTGGAGGCTGGGGACTCTGGGCTCGCTCATGTCGAGCCCAGGCTCTGGGATACACAGTGGGCTCAGCGGCCACCCATGAGCTTAGAGCTCATCCCCTATGGTCCCAATGGAGGGCAGCGGGCTTGGGACTGAGGCTGCGCTGGGAGGGAAACCAGAGGAAGTTATCTATAGGAGGGGGTGGGGTAGAATGACTCCCAGCCAGGGGGAGGGAGGTTCAAGGCCAGGCTACAGACTCAAAGGTATTCAGGGCTCTGCCTCTCCTCCCCGGCAGGAGAGGCCGTGCACCTGGCCCGAGACTTTGGCTACGTCTGCGAGACTGAGTTCCCAGCCAAGGCAGCCGCTGAGTACCTGTGCCGCCAGCATGCAGACCCCGGGGAGCTTCACAGCCGCAAGAGCATGCTGCTGGCCGCCAAGTGAGTGAGGGCGCCCTGCAGGGGTGCTCTGGGGCACCGTGCACCAGGCACACGGAGGGGCAGCGCAGACGCACACACCGGGCAGGGGCACTGTGGACGCCACTCACGAGCACACGTGATGTACGATTGGCACCACATGTGGGCACAGAGAGGCATCTCGCGGGGCCCGCCATGGGGCACACAAGGACACGCAAATACCTGGGTTCTGTGCATCAGCAAAACCGGAGTCACTGCCCCATGGCGTCACCACCCCCATTCCCACCACGGTGGTCTTGCTCCCCCTGCCCCCTCGCCTGAGCCTTGCCCATCAGCCCTTCTGCTCCGGTGACTTCCATCAGGGCACCAGTGCTCACCCAGCCACAAGTTGACCCTCCCTTGTCCTTACTTCACAAGTGACCCCCTTCAAGTCCTGTTGGGGGCTCCCCCACTGCCACTCCCATGCTGCTGCCTCAGCTCTGGCCTGCTGATCTCACTCCTGGACTTCATCCCAGTGCTCCCCTGTTCCCCCAGCATTCCTGCATGTGTCCTTCTCCCCTGCCCAAGAATCTTCAGTGACTCCCCACCTGCCCCATTGATTTTCAACCTAGGTTCACTGGGGATGCTTTAGGGCCTGTTTAATGAACTGGTATTCCATTCAGATTTAGTTTTTAGAAGGGTCCCATTGCAAGAAAAGACAGAGAGAGGGAAGAAGAGGAAGTCTAGACTCCTCGGAGGGCCCCACAATCTGGCGGGCACAAACCCCAACCACTGCAACTGACCTTCTCCCTGTCCCCTGCCCTCATGTCTGCTGCTTAGAATACCATCTGGTCCCCCATCTAAGGCAGTCCTAATACAGTCAGATCCCACCTCCGCCCTCGTCCTCTGGGACTTTCTCAGGCTCCTGAGGCAGAAGTGGAATCACAAACTCAAGGGACAGCCCTGTCTCATGGGACCTTTGAGGCTGTTCTTATTATTGCTGGAGAAACATATCCATCCTCCCGCCTGAGCCCCATGCAGGATGCAAAGAAACGGCTAATGGCCACAAACTGGAACAAGAGTCGGATCCCAGCTTTGTCACCTGGACAGGCCAGCCAACTTATCTGAAACCAACTTTCGTATGTGATGAGGATGATGATGACTGTGTAGGTTTGTTGTGAGGACTCAGATGAGGTGGCCAGTGGTTGGCACAGCCTCTAGGCCTCACTTCACGGTCACTGCCAGCATTGGTTCAGCTGGTCATTGTTCCCTACTTACTTCAGAGACAAAGCTCCGTGAAGAATTGGGTGTTTGGGATGGGAGCGGCTGAGGGGATGGAGGCAAGTTTCCTGGATAAGGTAGTAGAGCTGGACTTTGAACGTGGTCAGGACATCCACGGGAAGAGACTATAGGGTATTGGCCAAGCCCGTTCACTAGCTGTGTGATATTGGTCAAGTCAGTCAGTGTCTCTGAATCAGCTTCCTTTTCTGTAGAATGGGTATGATCATCATTTGCAGACTATTGACAGAGCAATCATAAATATATAAACATTGTCACACACACAATAGGTTCTTCTCTAGGCTCAGACTTTTGTCCTCTAACCCCCACCCTCCTTCTCCCACCAGGCAGATCTGCAAGGAGTTTGCAGACTTGATGGCTCAGGACCGCTCCCCGTTGGGCAACAGCCGCCCAGCACTCATCCTGGAGCCTGGAGTACAGAGCTGCCTGACACACTTTAGTCTCCTCACCCATGGCTTTGGTGGGCCCGCCATCTGTGCTGCCCTTACTGCCTTCCAGAACTACTTGCTGGAGTCACTCAAGGGCCTGGACAAGATGTTTCTAAGCGGTACGGGCAGTGGGCACGGTGACACCAAGGCTTCAGAGAAGGATGCCAAGCACCGGAAGTAACTGTCTCCGCTACCTCATCCCAAAGAGGTTGCCAAGGCCTGAAATGAGGCCTTAGATCCTGGGAGTGGGCCCGAAAGGATTAAAAGGCAGAGCTTGTGTCAGGCCAGAAAGAGAACATTTATCTCAAGATCGCTGAGTGAGAGGTTGGAGAAGCGGAGGTGGCTTCTCTCTGGCCGTTTGTCGAGAAGGGCCCAGAGCTCTGCTGCGTGTGTGCAGTTTTCTGACCCTTAATTGCTGGTAAGTGCTTGGACAGGAATGGCATGGAGAAGCCTGGTCTTGAGGCTGAGCCCCGTGCATCAGGGTGCCTGGGCAGCAGTGGATTCTCCTAGAGGCCAAGGCCTTGATGTGTTTACTTATGGCCAGGGGGAAATTGTTAACAAACCAGATGTGTTGAGGAGCTGGCATCCCTCACCCCAGCATCTCCAACCCCCAGAAAAGGGGTGCTGGTGAGAGGCCCCCGTGGGTCCTGGAACCATCCCACTTGGGGAGAAGTGGGTAGGGGAAGCCCTCAAGGAGCAAAGATAAAGCACACATTGTAGAACTTGAATCCATGCTGCATGTCACAGTCCTCTTGCTGTCTGTCCTATTTATTAATGTATGTTGTAATTAAATTTGAAAGTCTAAAAATGTCAAATGCAACTTATTTATCCTGAGTTGAGGATTCTTGTTTCATTGTTTTCTGCTTTATGCACCAAGATGTCCAGCTGGACCAAGATGGAGAGGGTGTGTTTGCTCACAAAAGGCTGGGGGAGGGCCAGGGGGCTTGGGGAAGAAAGATTATGTCAGAGATCATGAAATTTTCACGAAGGTTTTGTATATGCTGTTGTTTCTCTTGACCCTATAATCAATGTACCTCTTTGGCTCTCCAACTGCTTTTTCATTCTCTTAATAAAATTTTTTCACTGGGTATAAAACCTCCCTGTCCTTCTTCAGTCCAGGCCTAGATTTGCCTCTCAAGTGGGGAGGGGCCTCTGAGGGAGAAATCATAGGGGGGGAGCTGTGGGTACCAGGGTGTGCTGGGGGGCTGCAGATAGTGTATCTATCTGCTTCATCAGTGTGGCTGTCATTTCTGTGTGTGTGTGTACTCTTGGACTCGGCAGGCCTGTGTCTAAAAGTGTCTGTCTAGCTGTAGGTCTATGTGATGTATTAACACGACTGTTGGTGGTGGGTCTGTATGTGTCAGTATGGATGCTGGTGACTGTGAGTGTCTAGTGCTAGTCTGGCAGTCTTCTTGAGGATTTCATTCTTCAGGCAGCCTTTCCTGCATCCATCAGTGTCTCCTTCTCTACACAATCATCTACTACGTCACTCCTCAAAGCACTCCTGTTCTAGGGTCTGTCACCTTACAAAACATGAACCTTCCCCCATTTATCTCCCTGAGTTCAAGTTTGTGAAAGATCAATACCCCTCTGCCTCCACTTCCACCCCTCATTCACTCTTCAACCCACTTCACTCTGGCTTCCAGAGTCTATTGAAATTCACTCAGCAAGGTCACCAGTGGCCACAATGTCAAATCCGAAGGCCTTTTTCGTGGGGTTAGCAGCCCCTAACATGACTGACAACTTTCTTTTCTGAAACACTCTTCTCTGGCTCCCAGCATCTGGTTTCTCTGACCTCTCTGGTTCCAACTCTGGCTCCTTCTCTATTTGATCTCTAAGTGTTGCCCTTACTTGGGGGCGCCTCCCTGATTCCAGGCTTGTGTGTGCATTAGCCTCTCTGTCCGATGTCTCCACTGGACGAACAGGCATCTCAAATGTACGTCCAAAATGCAGTATATGACTCAGATTCTCACATCTCGACCTCCACACTTTCCCTCTGAGAACATGGCACCACCCTCCACCCAGCTGCTCAAGCGAGAAACTGGGGGGTCATATTTCTTTCCCTACACCCAATTCATCAGCAGACCCATCTTCGTCTGTCTCCTCTGCCATGACCCTAGTCCTTGGGACTACTGCAGTAACCTTCCAACCACTCTCGGTTTTGACCGTACACCCTCATACAAAGCCCTGCAATGACCTGGGCTTCACCCACCTCCAACCTTATCTTAAACTATTCTCTTTCTGATTCATTTTGAGCCAATCACACTAGCTTCCTGCTTGTACCTGCAATTACTACTTAGTCTTATGCTTCTGGGTGGCTGCACACACTGTGCTCTTTGCCAGGAATGCTCTTTGGCCAGTTGCTTGCAGGTGTGTTGTCCAAGATGTTGAGTGTTTTGCAGAAGTGAAGGGAACAAAAGGTCTAGCAATCATCTCCAGGATAAAGGTCCAAAGATGTGACCTCTTTTCCCAAGAAGGTTCACTGCCTCATACTACCCATATGGAAGACAGAAGGGAGGGACGGCAGGAAGCATGTATGCTCTGCTTTGACCCAAGTCCTGGGCCTGGAAAGAGACACTCAGCCACTAAAGTTGAGACCTTGGGAAGTTGAGGGGATTAAATGAGATAACACATACAGCACTTAAACAATGCCCAACACATAGCAACAAGTCAATATAAGGCTGTAGGTATCTCTAAGGTGAGCAAGGAGGAAATTAGTTTATTACGGATGACTCAGTGCTGGACAACTTTCCCAGTTAACCATGTAGTCTTAACCAAGTCCTATTTTAGAGATAAGAAAATTCTAGTCCAGAGTAACTTGACTAAGGTCACAGAGCGACCAAGAGGAACCCATGCAGGTCTGTCTGATCCATCCCTCCATTCCCACTGCTCCCCATGCCCTCTGCAGAAGGGCTCCCAGATCTGAGTCCAGTGAGGGAAAGCAGGTCCTGCAGTCCGTTGGGCCCCAAGGCTCTGGTCCTCCAGTCTACGGTCAAGATGGTAGCAGTAGAGGCAGGAGTAAGTGTGGGGAACATAAGTGGCATAAGAAGCTTCAGATGAGGTCTCAGCATTTGATTCTTCCCAGTAAGGTTTGTTTGTTACTCCACAGGGGAAAAAATTGTGTGTTAGCCTCTGACAAACTGGGTCTAGCCCTAAAGAACAGTAGATGATGATTAAGGGAAAAGCATATACAGACGGATTACGTGGCTTCTTTTTTGTAAAGCAAGTAGCTGTGAATTAAATGGAGAGTGTTTAGACTGGGTAAGCATCAGTTTTTGGAGTTTATATTCATTTAAAGAAAAGACTTTCCTGTTCTATTTTAAAGGCTCATGGGGCTCCAGGAAGAGTAAGAGTAGCCTTTGAATACCTGTCCCACTTACAAACCTCATGACGTTCGGTGAGTGAGGCTGAGTGGCAGGCCTTTCTCCCGTCAAACACGCATTCCTAACCCACACGCCAGAGCTAGGGGAGAGGCAGACGGTTTGAATCCCAAGAAGGCCCCCTTTCTGCTTCTACACAGCTGCTGCTTCGGGCCAAGGGTCATGCTGAGGAGACAGCAAAAGGACTCCGAGCTCCAGGCATTAGCCAGATTCAGGCAGGGCAGGCTCAGCCACTGTTCCTAAGCTGGGAAGCCAAGCACTTCTCAAGCTATTTCAGTGCCCTCCACTGTTGCTCATCACTTCCCCAACCTCTTCACCAGTTGGGGCTGAGCTTCCCTACCCTGAGGCAAATCAGCTGTTCTCTTCTCCAGCCTATCTCCTCTCACCTCAGGTCTGGAAAGGAATAGACTGTTTTCTATGTATTAATCACCTAAAAGCAGATGGGAACCAATCAGAAGACCATTCTGAGGAGCCCGGGCAGGAGTGTTAAAGAATCAGTGAATTCCCAGTGTTTTTCAAACTTTAGGAAATCAATTTAAGAGGGACACAGTTGACATTAAAATAAGACAAAATCTGGGGGTGCCTGGGTGGCTCAATCGATTGGGTGTCTGACTCTTGGTTTCAGTTCAGGTGGTGATGTCATGGGTTGTGAGATCAGGCCCCTGCATCACTGGACTCTGCACTCAGTGGAGAGTCTGTTTGAAAGATTCTCTCCCGGGGCGCCTGGGTGGCTCAGTGGGTTAAAGCCTCTGCCTTCGGCTCAGGTCATGATTCCAGGGTCCTGGGATCAAGCCCCGCATTGGGCTCTCTGCTCAGCAGGGAGCCTGCTTCCTCCTCTCTCTCTCTGCTTCTCTGCCTACTTGTGATCTCTGTCTGTCAAAATAAATAAAATCTTTAAAAAAAAAAGGAAAGATTCTCTCCCTCTGCCCTCCCCCGCTCTCTCTCTCTCATAGATAAGTCTTTAAAATAAATAAATAATCTAGTAGACTACAGATTAGAAAACATCAGAGTATACCACACTATGACTCAATCACATACATATACATCATCTGTAAGAAAAGCTTCTTGAAGCAACATTTACCCTTCGTCTAGTAGGTACAAACAGGTGTGGAGTAAAAACGCATGCTGAGTCCATAGAAATTCATTTGAATCAAGGGCTTTACGGGGTATAAAAGAGGGAAAGGAAATTGGGGAGCTAGCATGGAGATTATGAAATGCCCAGCATGTCAAACTAAAGAACTGTAAGTTCCACTACTCTAAGTAGTGGAAAACCATCAGAAATTTTTTGTTTCGTTAAAGATTTTATTTATTTGACAGAGACAGCCAGAGAGGGAACACAAACAAGTGCAGTGAGAGAGGGAGAAGCAGGCTCCCAGCCGAGCAGGGAGCCCAACGTGGGACTCGATCCCAGGACCCTGGGACCATGACTTGAGCCGAAGGCAGACGCCCAATGACTGAGCCACCCAGGCGCCCCCCATCATAAAGTTTTAAGTGAAAAGAGGTATGAATGATCAAACTTGTAGAATACAGAGGAAGAACTAGAGAGGAAAGAGAGGAAAAGTAGAGAAGGTAGAAGGCTGTTAAAGTAGTCCAGGAAAGGGGCACCTGGGTGGCTCAGTTTTTAAGCATCTGCCTTTGGCTCAGGTCATGATCCCAGGATCCTGGGATTGAGCCCAGCATTGGGCTCCCTGCTCAGTGGGAAGCCTGCTTCTCCCTCTCTCACTCCCTCTGTTTGTGTTCCCTTTCTTGCTGTATCTCTATCAAATGAATAAATAAAATCTTTAAAAAAAAATAGTCCAGGAAAGAATTATGAGGGAATAAATCAGAATACTGGGGTAGAGATTTTTACTAGAAGAGATTCAGGAACTAATACTGTTAGAACTTGGTGACTATGTGAAGGTAGGAGAAAAAGAAGGCACCAAA